CACTTTTACCTTCGGAAGTTCTCGGACCTTTACTCGAAATTTTATGTTCATTCATTTTCTTTTCGGAAGTTCTCGGATCATTTGCTCCTTCTTGATGTCATTTATATCCTGTCAACTGATTACCGAGTTGTTCGGGTCAACCGATTAAGAATTTACTCAGCCGGTTACCCGAAATTTATTCTATTCGGGTCGGTTAACCGATTATAGCCCAACCGGTTCAAATCACTATCCTAAACTAATTCCAGACTAGCTCTACATTGATAGCCGGTTTTTGCGATAACATATACTATTAATTGTGAATATAGACATTTCTTTTATATTTAGAATTCCTCGTGAAATCCTTTGCGAGTCTATTTTTTTATGATCTTGCGTTTACTTATCTTTGGAAGAATCTGGTCGATCAGTTTCAATACTTATTGATTTTTTAAAATAAAAGGATAGACATTCTTGGACATTAAAAATGCTAAAAGGTCTTAGACATCAAAATGTAAAAATACTAACTTGATCATCCTCCTGAATAGGGACGGTAGTATTCGAAAGTCTTGATAGAAAAGTAATCGACTATAAAATCATTACTATACTATCACTATTGTACTTATATTTTGCTTCAGAAACACGATGCTATGTATTGCTTTAGAGATAGATTTTAGTTTACTGCAAAATTTGCAAAATTTGAAATTTACGGTATTTTTTATTTGAATAATTTGGGGGGTAATATCTTAAAATATCTTGATTTAGGATTTGCATACCATGTCGATATATATATCGATATTCAAAAATCGATATTCAAAAATCTATATTTATTTGCAAGTCTCGTGTCTCTATGTTTCCTTATTTTGTCCTTTTTTTTTGCTGACACAAATTTGGTTGTCATGGCTCACCTCCAACTTATTCTCGATCGTCTCATTGTTGAAAATCTTCATGGGCCCATAAATTCTGTTTCAACTTTAAATCAATCTCGAAACGACGGTTCGCCAACTGAGTTATATGCTACGTTTCAACATAGAGACGATCAAGATTTAGATTCTGGGGATCCAAGGTTTGTTTGGTATTGAGATTATTTAATATATTATGTTATAATTGATTTTAATTGATGAAATAACGTTAATTTGGGGTTTTTATATGCTATACTTTGAATTTTATACATCTAGATGGCCAGATCTCTTCGTTGAATATTTCCTTGATAACAGTGATAGCAAAAATGATGATTTATTATTCTTTGTAAGGCAGACAAGTCCTGAAAATGAGAATCTTGATCCTGTATTTGTTAAAAGAAAACCAACACCACGTGTCATGCCAAGTCTCGATGATAAAGTATTATGGAAAGAAACTTTTTTTCTAAATTTGATTGTTCAAGTATGGTTTTATCTTTTTTTATCATCATTTATTATAAAAAAAAAAAAAAAAAAAAAGTTAATTATTATTTAAATATTTTTATAAACATTTTAGTTACCATGTAAGTTGACGGTAGCTGTATGCACTCGAACACCAGCTGATAACTCAGATGGACAAAACCAAAAAACAAGTATGACATGCTCAAGAAAGCATGTATCCAAACGTGTTTATGCACTTCCGACTAAATCAAGAATGGATATTAAGGAGACATCCATGGAGTGTTCCTACCCTGTCATTTATTATGTTATTGATGATTATGAGGACATGTTTGAACATTTGATTGTAAGTGATGGGGAATATTTATGTGTTGAATTAGCAGTGACAATACCAAATAAATTAGATGAAGATGAAGATATTAGTGATAATGATAGTGATGATGATTATTACGATGGAGCTACTAATATTCGACGTAATAATAAACATCGAAAATCTATGACAAATGAGCCATTTCCGCAATATAATGATACAAAAATAACCTTGTTTCAAGGTGCTGCTTCTTATACTGCTTTGTCAGACATTTATAAGCAGAAAACATCAAATAAGATAACTAAAAGATTCAAGATGGGTCCTCAGACACCACAAACAGAATATGTAATGATGCGAGAACTTCCGAAAAGAAAATGAATGAACATAAAATTTCGAGTAAAGGTCCGAGAACTTCCGAAGGTAAAAGTGGA